TTTTCGGGAAAAAGTTGGCCAGTCTAGACACAGTCCCCGAGGAGTCTTTTCTTTTGCTAGTCCAGTGAATGCTGGATTCATTTGCCAGTCCAGCTGGTGGCTAAAGAGTTGAAATCACGGAGAGCTGAAATCACTGGTTTGGCTGAGAGCCAGCCCCATGCCAGCCAGTGAAGTGGCGGCGACCAGAAGAGTGGCTGGTGGGCATCACTGGCTGGTGGCGTAACGTGGCGTGGAGTGGTGGCAGGCGAGGAGCGGCAACCAGTGGTGTGGCAGGGGGACCAGTGTGGTAGCGGCGGCAGGCGACCAGCGGAGCATCCAGTGGCGTAGGACAAGACAACTGGTGGAGCGTGGCGGAGTGTTGTAAGGTGCCCCCTATCTATCCCGTCACCCCCATTTCTACCCAGGTTGGGAGGTGAAACCCTGTGGGTGAACTTTGGGACTCTGGGTGGCACAGAGACCAGGGACAGAGACTTTTGGGGTGTCGGACTCTTTGGACTTCAGGTGATTCTTGGCTGGGGCAGGGCTTAGCTCATGTTTGTATTATGAACTCTGTTTGTGGTGTTTCCCCCAAGTCAATGCCGTATGACTTCTCTCTGGCTGTCTGTGTCTAGACTGCATCCATTTTCATAAAAGGGATGCAAATTAGACCTATTGCAATTGCAAATGAAGCGGGGATTTAAATCTCCTCCGCTTCATTAGCATAAAAATGGCTGCCTTTTTTTCCGGCTCGGAGCTTTGCCGGAAAAAAGCACCAGTCTAGACGCAGATCTTTCGGAAAATAAAGCCTTTTCTGAAAGATCCCTTATCCCTCTTAAAATAAAGGATAAAGGATTTTTCAGAAAAGGCTTTATTTTCCGAAAGATCCGCATCTACACTGGCACTTTTTTCCGGCAAAGCTCCAAGCCAGAAAAAAGCGGCAGCCATTTTTATGCTAATGAAGTGGGGGAGATTTAAATCCCCACTTCATTTGCAATTGTGATAGGTCTAATTTGCATCCCTTTTACGAAAAGGGATGCAGTCTAAACACAGCCGTTGGCTACGTCTAGTCTGGCCCCAAATTCCGGAAAAGGGATGCAAAGCAGGTAAGTCAGCATAGGGAAAGCCGCGGGGTATTTACATATCCCCCGCGAGCCGGAAAAAAAGCATCTAGACTGGTGTGATCCTCCGGAATAAAGCCCTTTTCCAGAGGATCTCTTTCAAGTTGAAAGTAGGAATAAGAGATCTTCCGGAAAAGGGCTTTATTCTGGAGGATCGCGCCAGTCTAGACGCTTTTTTTCCGGCTTTTCCCCAAGCTGGAAAAAAAGCGGCGGACATGTTTATTTAAATCCGCGGGGGATGTTTAAATCCCCCGCGGATTTCCCTATGCTGACTTACCTGCTTTGCATCCCTTTTCTGGAATTTGGGGCCATTCTAGACATAGCCACTGTGTCTAGACTGGCAAGTTTTTCCGCAAAAGCAGCTGCTTTTGTGGAAAAACTTGCCAGCTGGTCTACACTGACCGCTTGAATTTCCGCAAGAACACTGACAATCTCATGTAAGAAATCAGTGCTTCTTGCGGAAATACTATGCTGCTCCCGTTCGGGCAAAAGTCCTTTTGCACAAAAGCTTTTGTGCAAAAGGGCCAGTGTAGACAGCTCAGATTTGTTCTGCGCAAAAAAGTCCTGATCTCGAAAATGGCAATCGGCCCTTTTTTTTGCACAAAAGCGCGTCTAGATTGGCATGGACGCTTTTCCGCAAAAAGTGCTTTTGTGGAAAAGCATCCATGCCAATCTCGATGCTCTTTTTCCGTTAAAAGCATTTGCGGAAAATCATGCCAGTCTAGACGTAGCCTCTCTGTTTCATTAAATGTATCTTTCCTACACTCAGACTCAGTGCTTGCGAGTGGGGAACAATTGCCTCTCAGAGGCTCCCAGGGGTGTGTGAATTTCCCAGATTACTGAGTGGGGGCTTGAGCCTGTTCTGTGTGAGATGGACCCCAAGATATTGAACCCAGCCCTGGTTACTGCTAGGCCTACCCAGCAGAAGGGTTACACTTACAATAATTTAACAGCAATCAAGATCAGGATACAAATGGTTAGCAAAAAGGAACATAGCTAAATTGTTCCAACAATTACTGGGACATAGCCTCCTTTGCTGTAAAGCAGTTTGCCTCTCTTAACTTCAATGGACCTACGTCAGTTTACATCATCTGAGGATCTGGCCAACCATAAGAAGTTAATAATTCCACCAGCTCTAATTCCTTGTAGTTATAATGTTGATTGTTGTTACCAATGTGCTCTGTGTGCTTTTCTCAGCGGGCTTGGTTTTTTATCAGGCTAGGACTCTGGGATACTGGTGAAAAAAGATCTCCAAGTGTTTATATTTTATATCAATATCAACATATGCTAGCTCAGAGGAAAGAATAATAGTATTGATTTTCTATAGCTCCTATAGCTATTTGGGGCAAACCCTAAAATAAAATGAGAATAAATAGCTTAGTGTACATTTGTTCTGATGCGTCATGTTCCAAAGGGTCAAATCGTTCCCTTCAATATGCCTGGTCAGTTCTTCCTTACTTCAGGGAGGAGCTTAATGTTTTAATCCAAGCACAATGTTCTGTAAACACACAATAGCATTTCCATCAATTTCTGTCCTTTTCCACTACCAGATGTGAGAGATCAGCCAAAAACTAACTTATATTGTCCCTTGGCTTCAAGTCCATTGCAGCCAGGACCACTGACAGGGGATGGGAGGCAGAGGATGCAATTGCCCCAGGGCATGGTGATTCTGAAGGGCAGGGCTTCCCACCACCACTGCCATTACTGCAGCAGCAGTGGGAGCCAGAGCCCCATGCCCTTTAGAATCACTGCAAAGCCCTGGCCAGCTCTGAGGGCCAGCAGGGGCCAGGCACTGCACCGTGCAGCAAAGTTCCCTCTAAGCTGTGTGGCAGCATGGCCCCACAGCTGCTTAATGAGCCCCTCCCTGCCAGGAGATCAGGACCACCTAGCTGGGGGAGGGGCACTTCTCCCTCATCAGAGAGCTAATGCCTTAGCTCATGTTTGTATTATGAACTCTGTTTGTGGTGTTTCCCCTCAGAGAGCTAATGCAGAGAAGTGCCTCTCCCCCAGCCAAGCAACTCCGTGCACAGAGCCTGGAGCCCCTGGTTGGGTGGTGCTCATTAAGCAGCTGTGGGTCCATGCTACCATGTAGCTCAGAGGGAACCTTGCTTGCCAGATGGTGCTGGGGACTGGCTGCCCCTCCCTGCCCCTTTTGCCCAAATCCCTACTCCTTCCAGGCACACGAAGCTGCCCTTCCTACATTGCTCAGGGGCCCAACAATCATGTCAGCTCCCCTGATTGCAGCAATGCTTCCACATGCCAGGCCCATGCTGTTCAGCATTTGAGGCTGCTTTTTTCTGTGACTACAGCCTCAGGCTTTATTTTTCTTTTGCAGTTCACCTTGGAGGACAAGCCAACCAAGTCCTGAGAAGTGCTGAGCTTCAAGCACTCTCATTCCAGTAACCACACAACACATCTCCATCATAATCATCCCAGGCCTCGGCTGAGTGGAGAAAATCTGTCTAGGTAAGCATGTGTCAGGCATCCTAACCATGTGATCAGCCCAATCATAGATGGCTGTGGGCAATTATTGATGAATTTCCCACTCATAGGATTCTAAAAATTATAAATGTCATGATTTCAGATATTGAAAGCTTTGATAGTACTCTGTGGAAACTGTAGGGGACCAGACTCAAAAAGGGGGCTGCAGCGAGATCTCAAGTTTATTGCCAGGAGGTTGTTATAATGCCACGCTGACTTTTGCCCTGCAGCTGGCAGTGGCACTGCCTTTGGAATTGAGTGCCCAGCTAGCAGCCATCACTCTCCAGCCACTCAGCTCAAAAGGCAGCCCAGAAATCAAGTGACAATGCCGCAAACTCTCTATAACGTCCCTCAAACCCTCTCCCTCCTGCAACCGCTTTCTGAGTTGGGACACCCAGTTTGAGAAACACGGGTCTTCCCCCCATGAAATCTTGATAGTATAGGATAAAAGTACACAAAATATCATATTTGATGGGGAAGACCAGATTTCATGGTCTGTGATGGATTTTTCATGACTGTGAATTGGTAGGCCCCTAACTATTGGCCAAGGAAATGCCAGAAAGTTCAGGTGAAGAGAGGGACAACACAACAGACCAAGAACAGGGATAGGGCTGCTGTACAAATGTTTAGAAAGGAAACAGTGTGTGGGTACATCTCAGCCACCATTAGCAGTCATGCATGTATTTGGTTCATGTCTGTACATACATTGTTGAAAATAAAGCTTCTCAGAAAGCCTTTATTGACATTCAGATATTATGGTTAACCACTTTACACAATAAACTTGATAGTCATTATAATTCACATCTCTGAAGAGAGGAGAGCAGTTTTATTGCAAGAACATCCATTGCTTGTGAGGAAAAAAAATACTGCATGTAAGTTCTAGAAAACTGCATGATCTTTGTGAGGTCACCATCCTGTGTTCTTGGAACCAGATCAGTCACTGGCTTTTACTTCTATTCTCACAGTCCCCAGAGAAGCATACCAGCAAGTCATATAAATGGGAGTATGTAGGCTGGATTCCAAACTGGATTTCAGTCTTCATCTGCAAATATGTTATTTGTAATTGAGGGTGGTACCACAATAGTGGTTTCAGATTATGATTTTGTGGTGGCCTCTTTATGAAGGCAGTAAAAACGAGCCTTTTGAAATATCAAGGAGTTGCTGGATAAGAAGTTGGATTCTGTATGTTCTTCACAAAAAGGAAAGATACATTAATTCCATAGGGTTTTAATGTGTATAAACACTGTCACGAGACCAGATTTTTCTGCCACTGAATTGTACAAACTTCTTGTTTGAAATTGGAAGTAACTATTGCCTACATGGAAACTCCTTTGTCACCTGTAATGGAAAAAGTCAGAAGTTAATTAATCATATGGTATATGGTATTCCCATATGATATTCCTGCAAAATAGCTAACTCAGTTGACCTGAGAGAAAGGGTAATTATGGTAACTACAATCTCTTGTTTTGTATTATGTGACACAAAACATTGTTCTGTACTATATAATCTGATATTTTTACTTTGATATTATTGAAATGTTGATCTTATATACTCATTTCCTTCAATTCACCCAATATCCCCACCTAAACTTTTATATCAAATCTATTATTTGAACTACTCTGCTGTACCTCTTTGTCCATCATAGAACTATATCCTGTCCTATATTCTGGAGCTGCATAGGGCCAAAACCCAGATAAACTGGTGTGGTTCTGCTACAAAGTAGTGATGAGGGACAATTTGGAAACCCTGTGGAAGAGATCCATACATCCTGATCACTCTGCTGAGAGGGCGGCCCTACAATGCAGTGCACAGGAGATTTAGGGATTCCAGCAGGGACTTGCTGCTAGGAGATCATGTGGATTTACACCTATGTGGTTTCACCTGACATTCTACCAGACAGATGGGCAGTTGGAGCAGTCAAAGAGGCAATTCTGATCTGGGCAATGGGCAACAGGTATGGTTGACTCTTTGAAACAGCCCCACTGACTCTTTGAAAACAAGAGGTCATTCTGGAAGTTACCAATTCCCAAGGTCTTATCTTGCATGAATTCCAGTCTGTCAATAACACTGGCTGTGTCTAGACTGGCAAGTTTTTCTGCAAAATCATCTGCTTTTGTGGAAAAACTTGCCAGCTGTCAACACTGGCTGCTTGAATTTCCGCAAGAACACTGATGATCTCATGTAAGATCGTCAGTGTTCTTGCGGAAATACTGTGCTGCTCCTGTTTGGGCAAAAGCCCTCTTGCACAAATCATTTGCACAAGAGGGCCAGTGTAAACAGCACAGTACTGTTTTCCGCAAAAAAAGCCCCGAATGCGAAAATGGCGATCGGGGCTTTTTTGCGGAAAACTGCGTCTAGATTGGCCACGGACTCTTTTCCGCAAAAAGTGCTTTTACAGAAAAGTGTCCTGCCAATCTAGATGCTCTGTTCCGAAAATGCTTTTAATGGAAAACTTTTCCGTTAAAAGCATTTCCGGAAAATCATGCCAGTGTAGACGTCGCCACCATGTTTGAACATGGCTAGGAACCGCATTAGCAAATGTCAACTGAAAAAGGCTAGAACTTTATAAAAGAAAACCTGACCTGAAAAGAAAGGGTGTGTGTTGAGTTTGAGTGAAAATTAGAATGCAGTATGGCTGTTTATTAAATAATTCTGGGGCTGGCTTCTTAGGCTTGTCCTGGAGTCACCAGGAATTAAAGATTAATCCTTAATTAAAGATTATGGCATGTGATGAAGCCTCCATCCAACCAAAAAAGGCAACCTTCATCTGAAGTCACTTCTCTGGTGAAGCTGCCATGGGGGACAGCACAATTAGCACCCGAGATCTACTTACTTGATTTATTTGATTGGCAAATGAAATATGAGACTATGAATGCTAGGAACATCACAGAACCGACTATGATCAGCACCACTTGCAGCAAACTCAGCAGCTTCATCGGAGAGATCACTTTCGATCTGAACATTGTTGCTTTCTCATCATCAATAGTCGCCGTCTGAAACAGTGCAAGAGCATTTGCGGCTGAAGCATGCAAGTCCTTTCTCACCAAACAGTGTGATGGCGTATACATGGATTAAAGGGCAAGGACTGGATCCTTGCAATGTTCCATACTGCAGTGCCTAACTGTTGCTCTGCCACCCAGTGGATTCCACAGTCCTGATTTACATGCCCGGGTCCCTATACAGTGCCTAGGCAGGGCCAGGCACCTAAGAATGGGAGCTGCATAAGTCAGCTTGCCAAGCAGGGAGCTTCCAGAACTAATCGATGAAATATACCAAGGAGAGGAATGGGGGTCTGAAGCGCTTTCCCCTAGGGTCTTGGGCACCTAAGTCTAGGTGAGCTGGAGGAGCCCTGGAGTAAAATACCTCTCCTACAATACATAAGAACATAAGAACGGCCAACAAAGGTACATCTAGCCCAGTATCTGTCTGCTGACAGTGACCAAATGCCAGACTCCACAGAGGGAGGGAACAGAACAGGTAATTCTCACATAATCCCTCTCTTGTAACTCATTCTGAGTCCCTGACACACGGTGGCTAGGGGCACCATTCCTATCCATTCTGGCTAATAAGTATTGATGGACCTAACCTCCATGAATTAATCTAGTTCTTTTTTGAATCCTGTTAAAGTCCTGTTCTTCACAACATCCTCCGGCACAGTCCACAGGTTTACTGTGTACTGCATGAAGAAACACTTCCTTTTGTTTGCTTTAAACCTGCTACCTATTAATTTCATTTGGTGACCCCTAGTTCTTATGTTATGGGAACAAGTAAATAACTTTTCCTTATTTCCTTATAAACGTAAGTGTAGATTTGCAAAAGGAGGTTTAGCCTAGTGATTAGAGCCTGCATGAGCATGTGGGAGACGTGGGCTCAAATCCTCTCTGCCCCATTGAGAGAAGGGTCTCCCCCTTTCAGGAGAGTGCCTATGAGCTCCTACTCCAGGGCTGTGTCTAGACTGGCATGATTTTCCAGAAATGCTTTTAATGGAAAAGTTTTCCATTAAAAGCATTTTCAGAACAGAGCGTCTAGCTTGGCACAGACGCTTTACTGCAAAAGCACTTTTTGCGGAAAAGTCTCCGTGCCAATCTAGACGCACTTTTCTGCAAAAAAGCCCCGATCACCATTTTCGCGATTGGGGCTTTTTTGCGGAAAACAGTACTGGGCAGTCTACACTGGCCCTTTTGCGCAAAAGTTTTGCGCAAAAGGGACTTTTGCCTGAACAGGAGCAGCATAGTATTTCCGCAAAAAGCACTGATTTCTTACAGTAGAAAGTCAGTGCTTTTGCAGAAATTCAAGCGGCCAGTGTAGACAGCTGGCAAGTTTTTCCGGAAAAGCGGATGATTTTCCAGAAAAACTGGCCAGTCTAGACACAGCCCAGCTGTTTTGAGTATTTGGAGGCATATGGGCACAATGCCTGCTGGATTGGACCCCACTGGCAGAACAGGCTTAGCACCTAGTCTGAGGAAGCTGCAAAGGCTCAGATATGACATGAGCAACTGGGGAACCTGTGCTCATGCTCACTGGGAGAAACTTACGCATCTAGAAAACTTCAGGTGCTAACAGAGTTAGGCAGCAGCTGAGTGGGGGTTCTGTGAAAGTTGGGTATCTATGAGCTTTTATGGCTCTAGCTATAGGTGCCTAATTTCAGGCCAACAAGACTGTAAATTTTAGCTCTGGACTTTTTTAGTAAATCTCCTAGATTATTTTTAATAAAGCTGAAATAATTAGAATGATTAATAGAATCATAGAATCATAGAATACTAGAACTGGAAGGTACCTTGAGAGATCATCCAGTCCAGTCCCCTTCCCTCACAGCAGGACCAAGCACCGTTTAGATCATCCCTGATAGATGGCTACCCAAACTGCTCTTAAATATCTCCAGTAATGGAGATTCCACAACCTCCCTGGGCAATTTATTCCACTGTTTAACCACCCTGACAGTTAGGAAGTTTTTCCTAATGTCTAACCTGAAAACATACTAACCTCATTCAGCCAAAGAATAGGGAAGATGTAGGATTCTTTAATTTTTGATAAAGCACTGTAAGAAATATTGAGATAAAAGAATTAAAACAACACATTATTTACATGTTGCATATTTACAATTTCCAGATAGCAGTTTCTCACACACTATACTCTACCACTTTTCTGAAAGTGTCAGAGAGCACAATCTGTATGCAAACACGTGGGAAACCTCCAGTAAATTCAAACTATAGCAATCCTACATAGTGTGAAAAAGTATGTGAAAAAGAAGATTGATTGATAATGTATGTACAGGTTGGACCTCCCTGGTCCAGCACCCTCAAGACCTGACCGGTCCTGGACAAGGAATTTTTCCAGATCAGGGGAGGTCTGGAAGGTGGGATGCAAGCCTCCCTGCTGGGTTCCTCTCCCCAGCCACCTGAGCTTCTGTCCCCAGCCTCCTGTCCCCGCAAGCTGTGGCAGTCTCACTGGAGTTCTCATTGGGCCCACCACCCCACTGACCTCGTGCAGCCCTGCTATCTCAGCAGAGCTCCCAGGAGTCTGCCAGAATTTCCAGAGACCCCAGAAAATGCAAACCCCACTACCCCATGAGCTCTGCCCCCACCGCCAGCTTCCCTGCCCTGCCAGCTGCCAGCTCTGATGCCCCTGAGGGCTCTACTACCCTGCTGGTCCTGCTGGTCAGCTTCGCTCCGAGCTGCCAGCAACCTCTGCTAGTGGGGAGCTCCAGTCCTACAAAAATCCTTAATTCTGCTGGGCCACAGATGTTGTCAGACCAGAGATTCCAAGACCACAGACTTTCAACCTGTATAATTATCTATATCTTTATTATTATCATAATATTTTTTTTCTTATGTATCTTCCCTCCCCAAGCTAGTGTTTCATATCTGTCTGTTGTCCTTCATCATATAATTAGATTACAAACTCTCAGTCGGTTGAAGGGAGGAGACTTTATGACTGTATTCTAAATTAAATGCGTGTATAGTACCTAGACCGCAATGAGGTTTGTATCTCTTGTAGGTGCTCCCACATGTAAATTATAATTATGAGAAGGTGGATGTGTGCATACAGTGGGTACATTTAAAAGGTTTCTTCCATTTTGAAAGCTTCTACTAGTTTGAGAAATATATTTTATACTAGTTGAACCTCTCTCATCTGGGACTCCCTGGTCTGGTAACATCCGTGGTCCATCAGGACCACAGATGTTGCTAGACCAGAGAACCCCAGCTGCAGAGGTTAAGAGTAGCTAGGAGTGGAGTTGGTCTGGTCAGCAGAAGCCTGCAGTGGCAGTGACCTGAGTTTAGAGAGCCCCAACCTGGGTTCATGGCATTCTAGGAGCAGCTGCCACCGTGTGTGGATCCAGAGCTGGGAAACTCCGGGAGTAGCTGCTGCCGCATGCAGGACTAGGATCAGGGAACCCCAGGAGCAACTGCCACCATGTGGGAACTGGGGGCAGCAGAGCCAAGCTAGTGGACCAGAGTAGGTCAGGCCTCTGGGTTCTCCTGGGGCAGCAGCCAAGAAGGAAGCCCTTGGAGAACCTGGATGCCTGACCTCCCCTGGTCCAGCAAATTCCCTTCTTCAGGACCACTCTGGTACCAAGGGTGCCAGACCAGGGAGGTTCAACCTGTACTTGAAATAAGAACCATGAATGGAAACAGTAATCTCTTTTGCAATATTTAGGGTGCGCGTGCTCACGCGTGTGTGTGTGTTAGGACTGACTGGCCGTTGTAAAAAATGCATATTTGTTGAAATTTAAAACTGTTAAACAGTATCAAATTCAATGAAACAGATGGCAATAAAAAGGTCAGTAAAAATACTAAGATTATCAAAGCATAGGTAATAAAGAACAAGAAATTTTCTATTTTGGGGTTCCAAATTCCACTATATTTACAATAAAGGTAAAGGGGAAAAAAAGGGTAACACTGAAATGAAATTTTTCAGAATTATGAAGCAATCTATTTTGGATGACCCAAACCAAAAATTGTTTCGGATTTGTATTTAGTAAAAATGTTTGAGATTTCAATCTTTCATTCTAACTTGAAATAAGATTTTTTTTAATGTAAGGATTATTGTCCAATCCGAAAAACATGTATCACTTGTCCCAAATATTTATATATATGCATGCACAATAATGGGATCATTCCAAGGTTAATGCATGAATATATATTTTTACTTATAGTTTTCAGTCAGAATGACTTTTGTTTTTAAATTAAACAATGAAGAACAAAAGTAAGCAATTTTTGAAGAAATACAAAGTATGTTTCCTGTGTATGTCTCCTGAATATTAAATGGTCCAGGTTATCATTTTCATTGACACTAGTTTTTGGAATATTATTCATATTCTCCATATAGTATCTAATTCTGCTTTTGCTTCTCTTCCCTTGTATTGATAGTAGAGTCATATCATACCTCTAGTTCCCAATTCAATGGCAAGTGTAATCAATGAAAGACTTTCTATTGACCGTAATAAGCATTGGATCAGGCTTTAGTGCATAATAGCCATTTCCAAGAAAATGGAGATTCGAATTTTACTTGCAAATATTTGAGTAGAAGGACATTTTAAAAATGAAAATATCAGCAAATTTTTAAAATTAAAAACAGAACATTTCACGACATTCACAAATATTTCACACATCATGTTGAAACATTCTGCATTTTGAAATGTCACAAATTGGAAAATATTTAAGACTTGACTTTTTATATTTTACAAAATTGTGCATCTTCTTATATTTATAATTATGTCTGATTCCAATGGACCTACAAATTAGTTAGGAAGTATACTCGTATTTTTTTTCTAAAAGCTCCATTTTGGGTGATATCAGAAAATACAGAAGTGCTGGAAAAGAATTTTACAAGTGGCAAGGCACGCCATCCTTACTCTAGCCCAGCACTGAAATCTGTGGGACTATTCATGTGCTGAAAGACATGTACATGTTTAAGTGCTTTGCAGGCTCAGGGCCAAAGTATGCCTCACCCTGCAGGACAGACCCCTAAATCTCTATTAACAAAATTAAAGCCAAGTTATTTATAAAAGTAAATAGTATCCATTGTTGGACCTTAATTACTGGATTAAATTCAGAGCTGGTGGGAGAGAAACACCAAGTGAATCTTCTCCTGAAATCAGAGACCACTGTAATATTGTGAGCCCAGCTTCTTAATGGCTCCCAGTCCTAGCTCGCTACACACCGATTCCCAAGGGACATTCCAGCATTCAGGGATCACTAGGGTGTAAGGATACCCCTGCCATGTATCCTGTGCCAACTGCTGAGATGTGACCTGTAGTGGAACAATTACATTCATCTACTCTTCCCACAGATTTCCCCAGTGCTGGGGATTTTCAGAGGTTTGGTTTAGGAATGTAAACCCATAGCTGCCCTACTGCAGAACTGAGACACACTATCATAACATGGTCATTATGAAATGCATATTTAATATTTAAATTATATTGACTATAACACTAGCAAGCATTTTTGTAGAGCTAGTTACCATAATAGCAAAAGAGCTAACAACCAAAATATTGTACTTATGTTTTAGAAACAAAGAGAAAATACTTACTCAATTTTTGGTTCACGCTTCACCAGTAAGTTTACTTGCAGCCTTTTGGCAAATCGTAATGTAAACCCAGTGGTCTAAAGCCAGAAAGATGGTAAAGGAGAAAACACAAAATAAAACAAAAGCAACTAAAACAACCACAGTGAATTTAATGTGTGTGATGGTGGACAATACAAGCTTAAATCTGGAACAGGTACATCAGATAAACTCGGGTTGCCACTATTCATGAAGGCTGTGTCTAGACTGGCCAGTTTTTCTGGAAAATCAGCCGCTTTTCCGGAAAAACTTGTGAGCTGTCTACACTGCTCTAATCTAACTTCAGGTACTTAATTTAGATTACATTGTTATAATTTATAAAGTCAAAACTAAATAGTTGTGAATATTTTGTTTTGTGAAAAATTCCAAGAATTCAAGTTTCCATCCTATTTCAGGACAGACCAATTTTTCATGGGGCAGAATTCCATTTTTGGTTACCTTTCATTAGTACCAATTACAGAGGTGTTTTTGTGAACATCTGTGCCTTAAGAAGAGGTCTGAGACTCACAACTAGTTTTTCAGACACATGAGTTAATCTTAATGTTCATATTAAAGGTAAAACATTTTGGTATCATCTGTTTGTTTTAACTTGGGTTTTTTTAATAAATAATTCAGCCACGAACCAATCCAGCATAAAAAGTGTATAATTTGAAGAATGCAATTAGCTGGATTGCAATAATACAATGAGACTCCTCACATACTTCAAGTTAAGCACATGCTTTGCAAGATTAGCACTCAAGTAGAGTGAAAATTTGAACTGACTAAAATCAGACATGCAGCAATATTTTTAGATTGGGATTTATCCCAGATGAAAAGTGTGGCAATCAAATGCCCTTGGAATCAGATAAATGGTGAACTTCATTATTACAGTCATTCATTCGGAAAGCAGACCAGACTGTACTGCAATTGAGCTGGTTTCATGACTAGGTTGGACCTCCCTGGTCCAGCACAAGAGAATTTGCCAGATCAGGGGAGGTGTCCCCTGCCACTGGCTCCAAGCCAGCTAGGCCCCTGTCTCTGGCCCCCACTACTCCCTCCCCAGCCAGGCTGCCTGTTCTGTTGCCGCAGGCCCTTTGTCCCTCACTGCCACGTGTGGCTGGGTTTCTCCAGCCCTTGGCCCTAGCTCCACACTGCTGTGGGTGGCCAGGTTCCCCCAGCTCCACACTGCCACCAGTAGCCACACTCCTCCAGTTGCCAGCCCAGTGCTGCCATGGGCAGCCAGAGTTTTCTGGCCCCTGACCTCACACTGACACAGGCTACTGGGGTTCTCTGGCTCCATGCTGCTGTGGCAGGCAGGTTTCCCGAGCTCCATACTACTGTAAGTGGCTAAGTTTCTCCAGCCCCCGCCCCTGTCCTGCCATGGGAAGACAAGGTTCCCTAGCCCCACACTTGCAGACAAGGTTCCCCAGCCCCACACTTGCCACAGGCTGACAGTGGTCCAGGCCCCACTGCTGTGAGGCTCTGGACCTGCTGCCTCCTGCCCCCAGCCTCAGCTGGGCTGCTGGCCCTCCTGCCATTAGGTTCTCAGGATCAGGTCCTACTGGACCATGAAGTTTCTAGACCAGAGAGTGCTGGTTTTCAGAGGTTCGACCTGTATATTGATAAGCTGAACAGTATTGTGAAGATACATTTGTATTTTGTGCTGAAAGAAAGACAATGTGGCAATCTCTGAATTCTGATGATCTGTATCAAATGGAATCTATGCCTAGTTTTGTAAAAACTGAATTCTGAGTGAGATTTTGCCTACCCAAAATGACCCCAATCTGCTAACTAGAGAGAGGAGTCAAAATTAACACTTTTATGTGAGCCACCAAACTTTGGAGGTCAGAATAAGATTGGGGCTTAATTCTAAACCCCATTTAATGTGGTTTGGCAAAACCCAAACTCCAAAATATGGGCTCCTCCAATCATATCTGAAATGAATTAATATTATATCTATACTGTAAAAGCAATATTCTGCATGGCCATCAAGAAACAAAAATTATAAATGTTGGCTTACAGGCTCTATATCTAAAAAGGTCTCGTGTTCATCCTTATTTGGACTCAGTCCTTCAGTATGGTTGGACACATCTTCACTTGCATACAGAAAATGGGGAAGTGTAATAAACACTGGTTTTCCTAGTAGAGAAAGACAAACAAAATTGGAAAGTTAAATGTTAGTCTTGTTTTTCTTATTGAAGTGTCTTATCTGAGGGGACATGTATGTGAATGATATGCACACAAAAATACACATTCATTCTGCAGATTTACTAAACCTAAAGCAGAGAGAGATTCCATTGGCATCTAGATAGTTTGCATAAGGAAAATTAGTTGCTATTACAATTACTGCATATGGGCCAAATTCCAGCTGTAAGTTTACTCCAGTTGCTGCTCTCACCCTGCTAATATGCACGGATAGTTATCCCATCATGTATATGAGATCTCCTGAAGCCAGGCACTTGTGAGTATTCAAGACTTTTATGCAGTCAATGAAGCTTCTTTTATCCGCCTCTCCCCACCCCATCACAGACACAGGGGAGATAATTTAGGATAATTTAGTATTGAATATGTAAATAGTATTGAAACTTCCATCTCTCTCTCTCTTCTTTATCCATCTCCCATATTTTTATTTGTTGCATTTGTGCCATCTCCAAAGCTATATAAATAGTCCCATCACTACAGTCTCCGAGCATCTCCCATGCATTCATGAATTTATCTTCACAGCCCCCTATTAAGATAAAGAAGTATTCAAGTTCCTGTTTAAGGAATTGAATGCTTCAGAGAAATTAAGTTACTTCCTCAGGGTCACAGGAAATTCTTGACAAAGTCAAGAACTGAAATTAAATTTCTAGACTCACAGGCTTGTACCTTAGCCACAAAACTATCTTTTCCCCCAAGACAAATAGCTTGTTTGGATTAGTGGCATCTTACTACAATACCTTCTTTACAGGCACTAATGTTCAGGGCTCCAGCTGATGTGCAATTTTTTGAGAAATCCTTTTCTGTGCAGAAGCAAATATTTTCTGGGCTTTCAAGGGGAGACGCAAATGCTGCACGAGGTACTGTAAAACGATACAGGGGAATTTCCTTCACAATCTGCTCGCTCTCAAATATGCCATAGATAGATCTGAAGATAAAAGAGAAATGTTTCAATTGTCTCTTGTTTATATTATAATTACAGGTGTTTTGGTCCCTAGAAATTTCTTTTTTTTAATGATAAAGTGCTGTTGGGAAAAGTTTGGGTGATTTCAGGCTCCTTTAGCTCTGGCTTATCAGTTGGTGGAAATGCTTAGACAACGATCAAGTGTACATGACTTTTCCAAAAACGAGACAGAGGAAGTGGTGATTTTATAAGTCTCAAGAAAAAATCTAACTTTAAGAACAATAGTACCATGGGACTTTAGGGGCGTCATAGACTCTCCTTCACTAGAGGATTTTTGAAAAATAGGTGGAATAGTTATCTATCTTGGATGGTTCCAACACAACATCTCTTGGCAGGGGGACAAATAATATAACCTTTGTGGTCCCTTTCTTGTAACTCTATGGTTCTATGATACTATTATATAAAATACAGCAACACAAACATATACAGTTAAGAAGAAATGTACACATAGCTCCTTTCGAGGGACACACCTATGGGGGCCTGTTGTGAAGGAATGTTTTAAGTCTTTCAAGACACACCCATAGCTATTTTGGAATAGTTCTTCTTCTTCTTCATAGAATGAGTTTTACAGAAGTCGGAATAAGCTGTCTGTTATTTTGAAATTATTTCAAAATAACACAATTCCTGTGTAGACGCTCACATAGTTATTTCAGAATAACAGCCATTATTCCGAAATAACTTTGCTGTGTAGACACACCCCATGTCTGGATGTAGTTCGGTCAGTATTAAGATGCCTTATACTCATATTGTTTATTTCACTTGGCAAACTAGAATTAGTACTAGTGTACATCGTTTTATACTGATACAGCTGCATCCATACCGTCCTGTTGGTTACTGGTATAGTTGAAGTGGCAAAACATTCTAGTGTGGATAAGCCATTAGGGAAAAAAAACAGTGTTTTGCGTGCCTTGGTGCCCTCAATTGCATTCTTTTCTAACTGCTGAGGCTAAGCTACAAATCAGACAGATCTGATATCACTAGAAACAGGCAAGCCGACACCTCTTGAGCAAGGTGGAGAGGAGCAACTCCGTGCTCCTGGAATGGGCGGGGTCTCTGGCAGAAGGGGTGGGGCCAGGCAGCCATCCCTCAATGCCACCCGGACTGCCCTCCCACCCCCACCCCCCAGTGCCATCCTTCACTTGCCGCCCGGTGCTCTGCAGCACACTGTGTGGGGCTCTGACAGCCATTTAAAGGGTCTGGGGCACTGACTGCTGCCTCTACTACAGTAGCAGCAGTAGTGTCCAGGAGCCCTGTCCCCGTTAAATCTCTGGTTCTCAGGGCTGTTTCCCTCTTTGGCTCCCTCATCAGCAAGCCTGACTAGAAAGAAGAGACTATGATTAGTTCATCTCAGAACTAAGAGCCAGACAAGGTTTGAATGCACCCACAGGCTACATAAAGAAACAGTTTCTCTCTTCTTCACTGAGTACACAAAAAGTCCTTTGGTATAATTGGCAGATTTCAGTTTTGGAGTGTAAGCTGCTCTAGGAGAAGAATTTGACTTATAAACACTGATCCCTTTTAATGCAACTTTCAAATTAAATGACACATTTTAAATTAAAGAATAGAAAAGCTCATTCCTGTCACTGAAAGTCAAATTTGAGCCCACAAATACATGTTCTGAAAGAATTAAACTTCTGTTCTCTTAAAATCTATTGAGCAGTGTCTGTAACTGGTGCACTGGTGTGTGGCAAAAGCAGAAAGGAAAGGCTGAACAACCCCTAGCAATGAGATTTGTATGTATTTGTTTGCTTGTTTGTTTATTTGCAAGAGCAGGTTATGATGACCAGGACTTTAACAAAGTTCAAGAAAGAACTTTCATATATTCATGAAAGTTAAATCTATCAATGGCTGATAGCCAGGATGGGTCAGAATGGTGTCTTTAACCTCTGTTAGAGGCTGAGAATGGATGACAGGAAAGGGAGAGCTTGAAGATTTCGGCTACGTCTACACTGGCCCCTTTTCCGGAAGGGGCATGTAAATTTCACTAGTCGTCGTAGGGAAATCCGCGGGGGATTTAAATATCCCCCGTGGCATTTAAATAAAAATGTCTGCCGCTTTTTTCCGGCTTTTAAAAAAGCCGGAAAAGAGCGTCTAGACTGGCCCCGATCCTCCGGAAAAAGCGCCGCGGGGGATATTTAAATCCCCCGCGGATTTCCCTACGACGACTAGTGAAATTTACATGCCCCTTCCGGAAAAGGGGCCAGTGTAGACGTAGCCTTCCTGTTTTATTAGCTCCCTCTGGGGCATCTGGCATTGGCCACTGTCAGAAGATAGGATACTGGACATTTGTTTGATCCAGTATGGCCGTTCTTATGGTTCTATGTATATTCTTATGTATTTATTTATTTAAATATATATCATATTCTGAGAGAAAGCAGTTTGGTGTGTTTGGCTATGAAGGGGGAAATACACCTTTGTCCACATGGCCCATGTATCAGTTAAGTTCCACATAAGACCTCAAAATAATGCTTAAATGCCTCATGCTAACCCTTTGCACATGGGTGAATTGTAGTCTAGGAGTATGACTAAACACCTGGGGATTTCTGGAGAAAAAGGCCTGAGGATTACAGTGGACAAGAAGCTGGATATGAGCAACTGTGTGCCTTTGTTGCCAAGAAGACTAATGGCAAATAGGCCTGAATTAGTAGGAGCATTGCCAGCAGATCTAGAGAAGTGATTATTCCCCTGGATTCAGCACTGGTGAGGCCACATCTGGGCTGCGTCTACACTACATGCTTCTTGCGCAAGAAACCTTTTGCGCAAGACTTCTTGCGCAAAAGTTCTTGCCCAAGAGTACGGCCACACTGCCATGTGCTTTTTCACAAGAGATGTGCTTTTTCACAAGAGCATCCATGGCAGTGTGGATGCTTTCTTGCTCAAGAAAGCTCTGATGGACATTTTAGCCATAAGGGTTTCTTGCGCAAGAAACCCCTGTTGCCCGTCCACACAGCCTTATTGCGCAAGAGCTCTTGTGCAAGAGGGCTTATTCCTTGTGGAGAGAGGAATAACTCTTGTGTAAGATGTCCTCTGTTCCGAAACTTTACTGTAAATTTACTTGCACAGGAATGCGCGTGCAGTGTAGACACTCTGCAAGTTTTTGCGCAAGAAACCTGCAGTGTAGACGTAGCCTCACCTGGAGTATTGTGCCCAATTATGGGCCCCATTACAGAAAGGATAAATAAAAGAGTCCAGAAGGGCAACAAAAATTATTAGGAGTCTGGGGCACATGACCTGTGAGGAGGGGTTGATGGAAATGGTCTTATTTAGTCTGTTGAAGAGCAGAGTGGGGGTTATTTAATAGCAGCCTTCAACTACCCGAGGAGTTTCAAAGAGGGAGCCAGGGTGTTCTTAGTGATGGCAGATGACAGAACAAGGAGCAATGGTTTCACGTTGCAGTGGGGAAGATCAAGTTTGGATATTAGGAAAATCTATTTTACTTGGAGGATGGCTAAGCACTGGAAGGGCTGCTGAGGGCAGTGGTGGAATCTGCATCTTTAGAGGTTTTTAAGGTCTGGCTTGACAAAGCCCTGGCCGGGATGATTTATTTGGGGTTGGTTCTTCTTTGAGCAGGGAGTTGGACTTGATGACCTCCTGAGGTGTCTTCCAACCCTAATCTGTGATTCTATGATTTTATGATGACAAACAAGCAGCAGATTGTGACATTGAGTCTTAGAGCTTGAGTCTGTAGACTTGGGCTGACAAGGCTTGTGCTATAGCTCTAAAAATAGCACTGTAGACATTTAGGCTCAGGGTTGAGCTCAGGCTCCTGCCGAGGCATCAAGGCCTAAGTTCCAGACAAAATCCAAATGTCAATCCTACTATTTTTAATCACTTTAGTACAAGCCCAAATCTTTAGACTCAGGCTCACTGACACAATTGCTGCTATTCATGTAGATAAGGGGTAGGGAACATAAGGCTCAGGGGGCAGATGTGGCCTCCGGCTTGCCTGAATCTGCATCTCAAGGCTTAGGGCTCTTCCTCCCCAGCATTGGGGAGCCCATGCTGATGCTCCAGCCCCCCACCAGCTTCCTGTAGGGATTTAGCTCGCTCTGGTGTGAAAGGGAAATGTGGGGAGTGTCTTTCTGCTTCTCAGACACGGGTCACATCAGTGAGAGCTTGTTTTTCTTTCCTTTGTTTGTTTTTTTTGCATCTTACTAGTGCACCCCTTGATTGATTCTGTGGGTCAGTGGCCTCTGACCCCAGATATAGATGAGCCCTGTGGCCCAAACCCGAACACTGAGCACTAGTGTGAATAGTCCCTGTGAACTCAAGAGGCCTGAGTCTCTTTTCACTTTTACCAGTGTAATGATGATCTTCATTGGAGTTACTCCTGAATTACACCAGCACAAGTGATCTGCTACTCACTGGATGGCAGAGCCAGGCTTTAAGTAGAACATCATTGAGACAGCAGACTCACATTTACTTTAAGGCCAAAGGTTTGGTTATTGAGATGCTTCAGTGACCAGAGACCAACACACACCTAGTGGGTGTAGTTCACTGTGTGTGGGTTACAGAAGCAGAGCAGCTTCACCAACTTCATCAATAATTTTCAGAGAATATTATTTTGGAAAGCACTCATGGGAACAGGTACACAATATGGGTACTTCCAAATGCCCTACCTGCAAATATCAGAGGAAAAGAAGCGCAGGATCTGGTTCTTCTTTACAAAAGGAGGAAATGATGCACCATCTGTGGAGGAAATAAAATAGGAGCTACAATGCAATTCCACTTGACGACATGAGGTCATTGACAAAGCCACAGTTTGCTGGGGTCTTTTCCATACATTTCTGACAAAGAAAGACAAATTTAGTGCTTGTACACAGAGGCTTTCCTTTGTTTGTTTTTTTTGCATCTTACTAGTGCACCCCTTGATTGATTCTGTGGGTCAGTGGCCTCTGACCCCAGATATAGATGAGCCCTGTGGCCCAAACCCGAACACTGAGCACTAGTGTGAATAGTCCCTGTGAACTCAAGAGGCCTGAGTCTCTTTTCACTTTTACCAGTGTAATGATGATCTTCATTGGAGTTACTCCTGAATTACACCAGCACAAGTGATCTGCTACTCACTGGATGGCAGAGCCAGGCTTTAAGTAGAACATCATTGAGACAGCAGACTCACATTTACCAAAGGTTTGGTTATTGAGATGCTTCAGTGACCAGAGACCAACACACACCTAGTGGGTGTAGTTCACTGTGTGTGGGTTACAGAAGCAGAGCAGCTTCATCAACTTCATCAATAATTTCCAGATAATATTATTTTGGTAAGCACTTATGGGAACAGGTGCACAATATAGGTACTTCCAAATGCCCTACCTGCAAATCCAACTTCATCAATAATTTTCAGAGAATATTATTTTGGAAAGCACTCATGGGAACAGGTACACAATATGGGTACTTCCAAATGCCCTACCTGCAAATATCAGAGGAAAAGAAGCGCAGGATCTGGTTCTTCTTTACAAAAGGAGGAAATGATGCACCATCTGTGGATGAAATAAAATAGGAGATACAATGCAATTCCACTTGACGACATGAGGTCATTGACAAAGCCATAGTTTACTGGGGTCTTTTCCATACATTTCTGACAAAGAAAGACAAATTTAGTGCTTGTACACAGAGCGTATGTCTACACTTCCCCCCTAGTTCAGACTATGGAGGCAAATGAAACATACCGAAGTTGCTAATGAAGTGTGGGATTTAAATATTCTGCATTTGATTAGCATATTCGCGTCCGGTCGCCATTTTAAAATGCCGGTTTCTCAATTTAACTTGCTGCATGTAGACGCAGTAGTCCGATACAAAACCCTTCCCTCGAATTAACTGTTTCTCCTTGTGTAATGAGAAATAACAGTTAATTCGAGGGAAGGGTTTTGGATCGGACTACCGCGTCTATATGCGGCAAGTTAAATGGGGCAACCGGCATTTTAAAATGGTGACTGGCCGCGAATATGCTAATCAAGAAATCCCACGCTTTATTAGCAACTTCGGTATGCTTCACTTGCCTCTCTAGTTCGAACTAGGGGGCAAGCGTAGACATACCTATAAACCTAACTTTGGAACCCCATTTAAAGGCTCTATTTAATCTTTAATCTTAAATTTAGTATATACAGTCTATGGTGAGCTGGCAATATTATTAACAAATAATAACTGGCATGTGGCATAGTTTATATGGGACATTGAAAAGTATTAATGTCCCTGCAGCCTAGTAGATTCAACTCCAGAGTTTGTATGGCCAGAACATTTGAGACTTGATTTTCAGAGTCAAACGTCCTATTGATTCAATTGGAATTAGGGATACTCAGTGCTTATGTATCTCATATCCTTAATCTTTCAAACTCGCCTTTCTAACCATATATTCAGTTAATGTCATCTCCACCATCCCACTGAATATGACTTCTACCCAGCACGATGTTCTAACTAATCTTTAACGTCATTCTCTGCATCTTGTAACAGCTTCTATTTAAGTATTATACAGCATCCTTTACAAATATTTGTGATTATGAATGCTTCTCTTATCTCAGGCTAGATGACAAGAGCAAGGAGACTTTCTTATATGCAATCACTCGACTTCTGTTACCAGCAAGGTCTTTTCTCATACAAGCCCAGATTCCATCCATCCACATGTCTGTGTGCAATTCCTAAATCCTGACAGCTTGGTAATGGGTTGGCAAAACCTGAGTTACTTTCAAATCCTTGGATGAGAATACTGCCTCTGGTGCTTAATTTGGCTATCTAAATCCTTCATTTAACCTAGCAAGGGAAAACAGCTCCACCCTGTGAGAGTCCACAAAAGGAGGAATTCTTGCCATACAGAACTCTGATTTGCAGTTAGCCTAGCTGCACCTACTGCTGCTTGTGACAACAAACTGAATATCCACTAAACACTGAGGCTACGTCTAGACTGGCACAATTTTCCGCAAATGTTTTTAATGGAAAAGTTTTCCGTTAAAAGCATTTGCGGAAAAGAGTGTCTAGATTGGCACGGACGCTTTTCTGCAAAAGCATCCGTGGCCAATCTAGATGCACTTTTCCGCAAAAAAGCCCCGATCTCCATTTTCGTGATCGGGGCTTTTTTGCGCAAAACAAATCTGAGCTGTCTACACTGGCCCTTTTGCCCGAATGGGAGCAGCATAGTATTTCCGCAAGAAGTACTGATTTCTTACATGAGATCATCAGTGTTCTTGCAGAAATTAAAGCGGCCAGTGTAGATAGCTGGCAAGTTTTTCCACAAAAGCAGCTGCTTTTGTGGAAAAACACCCTCATTTTATGAGGAGTAAGGGAAGTCAGAGGAAGAGTGCTCTTTCTTGGACTTCCTGCTGTGTAGACAGTGCTAAAAGCCGAAATAAGCTATTTTGACTTAAGCTGTGCAATTGATATAGTTGAAGTTGCATAGCTCATTTCAGCTTTAGTCCTGCTGTGTAGAGATACCCTGAGTTGGATCACACAAGATACATCTACACTGCACCCGTAGGTTGAAATAAGATGAGTTGGATCACACAAGATGCATCTACACTGCATCCGTAGGTTGAAATAAGATACACAATTGAACCACGCAAATTGTGTATCTTTTTTCGATCTAATTTTGAAATAAACCGCTATTCCGAAATGTCCCTTAATCCTCGTGGAATGAGGGTTACATGGACATCGGAATAGCAAGCCTGTTATTTCAAAATCTGTTTTGAAATAATGGTCTGGTTCGAAAGATATGGAATAGAATACCTTCCTTTTTAAATCTGTTCCCACAGTTACATTTCATTCTAGGATGAGAACAGGTTAACAACCATAAAAGAAACAAAGAAAAAGAATGAGAACAGACACAATTGGTTCAGCTGCATCTCTGCCTATGAAACACTTTCCTTCATTCTCCATCCATGTGCTCTCATATCCAGTCTCTATCAAAGAAGCAGCTCTCATAGGTGTTGAAAGGAGGATCTTAGGGCACTGTTTAATTCTCCAAGCTTATAAATGCTCTTGAGCAGCCATTGTGAATGTATATGCAAAATCTGTTATATTCATCGATTATGGGTTTATTAACTTCAGTTTATACTTCATCAGATCCACTGAATCCATTTACCATAGAATGTATATAGTCTATAGCACTGATGGGCAACCTGCAGCCCAAGAGCTGCATAGAGCCCATTGGGGTTCCAAGGTGTGGCCCATGAGACATTCTATTCACCATTGCCAACTCACAAAGTTGCCAGTTTCTGCTGGTTTTCAACCACATAGGGTTTTTCCCCCTATCAGTATTACTAAAGTCACCAAGTGCTTAAACCTAGGATACGTGAAGTGAAATGTGCACTGATTGCACACAAAATTGATTGTGAGAGCTGTGCGCATCTAATAAAAGTGCTACTACGGTTCCATCGGCAAACCCCACAAATTCTAGGTACACAAGCTCAGTTAGCAAAATGACTGTGTCTCAGGAGACCATCTTGGTTAGTTTTCAACCACATAGGGTTTTTCCCCCCCATCAGTATTACTAAGTCACCAAGTGCTTAAACCAAGGATACGTGTAGTGAAATGTGCATTGATTGCACACAAAACTGATTGTTAGAGCTGTGCGCATCTAATCAAAGTGCTACTATGGTTCCATCAGCAAACCCCACAAATTCTAGGTACACAAGCTCAGTTAGCAAAATGACTGTGTCTCAGGAGACCATCTTGGTTACGGAAATCTTGTGGCCCACTGAGATGAAGGAGGAACATTCTTGCAGCCCACTCACTAGCCTTGGTGGCCTCTCACTGGTCTACAGTTTACAGGCCTGGCATCACAAGAAAGAGCAAAATAAAGGTAGTGAAAGGGTGAAAGGTTCAAGTCAAAACTGAAAGAAATGGAGAAATATCCCAGGAGCTCACAATACTGCTTAACCAATAATCACTAGCTCAGGCTGCAATAAAGAACCAGTCCTTCTTGACTTGGCCTTCATAATAAACATCATGGCTACATCTATACTGGCATGATTTTCCGAAAACGCTTTTAACAGAAACTTTTCCGTTAAAAGCATTTTCGGAAAAGCACGTCTAGATTGGCAGGATGCTTTTCCGCAAAAGCACTTTTTGCGGAAAAGTGTCCCTGGCCAATCTAGACACGCTTTTCCGCAAAAAAGCCCCGATCGCCCTTTTCGCGATCGGGGCTTTTTTGTGGAAAACAGTACTGTGCTGTTTACACTGGCCCTCTTGCACAAATGATTTGCGCAAGAGGGCTTTTGCCCGAACGGGAGCAGCACAGTATTTCCACAAGAACATTGACGATCTTACATGAGATTGTCAGTGTTCTTGCGGAAATCCAAACGGCCAGTGTAGACAGCTGGAAAGTTTTTCCGCAAAATCAGATGATTTTGCGGAAAAACTTGCCAGTCTAGACACAGCCAAGTACCTGTCAGGTTTCATATTCTCTAGCTTACGGCCTATTGGGAAGAGAACTGCAGGTGCCCATAACATGCAAGATAAACTGATCAATGTTTTTTTGTGTCTCCATGTGTTGTTGCTCAGGTGGAATCCCATGGGATTAATATTTTGGTCTTCTGCTCTTTGCTATCTACCTTCTCCCTCTTGGTCTTCTTGGTGTATCTTTAATCTTAGCTCTTATTTGTATAATGACAATGGTAACACCTCTGTGTCTACCCTAGCTACTTGTTTTGACCAAATGAGTTTGTGGCTTCATCTCACATTTCCTTCATCTAAATGTGTTGAAGACAGAAACTTAACACATATCCTCCATTGTAATGTTGTATCATCTCTTACCACTCTTAGCTCAGAAGCCCATTTGTCTTTATTGTCTGTGTCTATAACACTCTTACTACTCAGACATGCATCTGACAAAGTGGATCTTTGCCCACGAAAGCTTATGCTCCAACACTTCGTTTAGTCTATAAGATGCCACAGGACTCCTCACCACTCTCCCTACTGTAATAGACTTCTCAGTGATATCCATAAACACAGACTCACCAGATTCCAGCATCTATTGCATAATACTTTTTCTAATGTAGTTTTTTGTGAGTGAGTTACTTCCCTCTTTGTAGTGTTTTGGTATCCAGATTGTAGTCAGATATTACACAAAAAATAAATCTCGGATGCATTACGCCATGCACACAATTAAGGGGAAAAGGCTGCTGGAATCTTTTCTGCAGCCCAGGGTTGCTTTTGCTAAGATGGGAATTCTCATGAACAGAGAGAGAGAGAGAGAGAGAGAGAGAGAGAGAGAGAGAGAGAGAGAGAGAGAGAGAGAGACTCACCTGTTCTCTTTCCATTGATCATGTCACACTGGCCTTTCCAGATGGAAAGCGTGCTTTAACAAAAAACAAAAACAGTTCCTGGTCAAGCTACATACTGTGCATTGTTTAATGTCATCTGTTTCATTACCTAGTTAGCTAGGCCTTGAAATGTAGTTAGAACCACTTAGGGATTTAAATATCCCGCGCTTCATTAGCATAAAAATGACCACTGCATTTTTTTGGCACGAAGCTTTGTCGGAGAACAGCGGCAGTCTAGAGGCTGATCTTTTGCTAAAGAAAGCCTTTTCTGATAGATCCCTTATGCCCTTTCTCTGACAAAGCTCCGTGCCAAAAAAAGTGGCGGCCATTTTATGCTAATGAAGTGCGGGGTATTTAAATCCCCACTTCATTAGCAATTTCGATTTGTCTAATCTGAATTCCTCTGTCGGCAGAGGGGTGCAGTCTAGACATACCCCTGGTGCCGAAGCAGTGCCCATGTAGCCACTGAACAGGGATGCTTTCAATATAGAGACGGCCCCCTTCATGATGCAGGGGGCTGTTGTTTTGGTTTTCAATTCAGATGCAGAATGTTACTGAGTGGACTGCATCACTTGCTCTTCTCACAGAGGTTTTGGGCCTGACTCTCCTCAATTACACTGGTATAGCTCCACTGACTTTACTGTAACTATTCCGATGTGAATGCAAGGAGAAAGGGGCTCTGAATTAGTTCTTCCATTGCATGTTATTTCCTTTAATCTGAAATCAATGTAATCTAGGCTGAAAAGTGCACATTTTGATCTTCACACATAGGGACACATAACAAAGAAATCTGATGAGATCTCCTGGTTGAAAAGAAAAGAACAAAAGGTTCAGTGGCCACTTATGGAAATAAGAATTCCTGTTTAATGAAATGAATGTCTTTGAAGTATGTGTCCAAAAAGTTTCAACAGTACTTTATTTGCATGCTATTGAATCCATGTGTTTCCTAACACTGGTGGGCTATTTGACAGTGTTTAGACTCTTGTCTTAGAGAAAGATCAGATGAGATAGAATATATGGACTTAAAATATACTTCAGAAGTATTCACTACCAAAAACAAATGTTCTACATGAAAAATATTAATAATATCTATGAAAACAAATAGCATTTAGTAAAATTGCTAAATTTCCACACAATCTGAACAATCTTTTTTTTTATGGTAATTCCCTGTGAACAGGCCTAAGAGATCACATTGTTTGGGGATAAAGGACTAATAAAGATTGCCAACTACACAAAATCCCTCTATCTTCTTTGAACTGTCTCTTGTGATGGTGCATTACCCCAGTATTTAGTTGTAGGGACATGATTAGAATTCACAATAGCTATTGCTGACTTCCCCGGAACAGGTAATTCATAAGGATCAGCAGATTACTCTGCTCCCTCAAAAATACTACTATTTTTTATTTAATATTTTAATGGCTGAATATCAGTGTCTGGTATTGCTATGACTTTCTAGCTTTAATGGCTCCACTATAAAATAGTCACTTGTTCAAGGCATTGAAGAAGGTATAAGAGTAGAAAAGGGTGGCAACTCCTTTTGGTCTTTTTACTTGGCCAAACTGTATCCAATCATATTCTATGAAACTAGTGACCATAGGGGATTAAAAGGATCCAATAACTTGCAATGGAAAACAGCAGCAATACATTAGATCACACTACCTGTAACTCCCTGTGCCAGCCCACAGCATGATCCCTAGGGCCGTGAATGAACAGGTTTATGGATTTGCTTCTACACAGAGCTGATAGAGACAGTTGCTTTATTAATTACTCTAAGATACTAATACTACAGTGTTAATGCTGCCAGCTGGCTACACAATGCAAGGACTGCAAAGTGACATTATACACCAACACACACAGAACAATGCATAATATGGAGTAACAGGCACTTAGAAATGTTCATGTCCCTTCAGTTTGCATGGAGTTCCATTCTTGTCACCTTGTGCCCTGGACCACAGTGGACGTGGATCCAGCATGGGGGAATCCCAGGCACCTTTGAGGTTGGGGTCCCAGGTGAGACCCATTGGGGCAGGGCTCCCAGTGATCTTATACTTTAGCTGTGTACTGAGTGTCCGCAAGCTGGCCCAATGCCATTCTCAACATTCCCACGGGGTTGAGAGCCGAGGTTATGTTATTTATCCCATACTCTCCTCTCAGCTAACAAGCAGAAGGAGCTGTGGCCGATGAAGGCTGTCTGATAGAAAACACCTGGTGTTTGCACTTACAGGGTCCAAGGTAACCATGCTGTGTAAACCAAGGATAGAAACTTCCATCCTGGATCTGCTGAGCTGCAGGCCCCACATATGACTTTTTATATGACACCCTGAAATTCATGGACATGATGGAATGATGGTGGGCTAAAGGAGAGAATATGGTTTTGATGATTTTAGACCTGATTCTGTATTCATTGAAGTAAAGAAGAGCCTTTCCATTGACTACCATGGGCTCTCTGGCTTAGGCCTGTGATGTCTTGTCTAGAGTCATGCTTAGGAAATATGTCCATTTCTCTTATAAACAATGCTTATGGTACCTTTTGTTTTTATAGGATTGAATTATTGCAGTTTTGCTTATGTCATCTTTCCCATTAAAGACTCTGTACAGTCCATCAGATGTGCCATTATACTGCAAAAGACACAAGAACAGAGAACAACAGTTTGGCTTTATGACTCCCAGGACTTTTAATGAGATCATATATGATTAATTGCCCTTTTATATTCATATCCTCTACAGACTTTTGTGCTGTTCTTGACCATGCAAACATCAGATGTGGGTTTTTATTCTTATACATTCTGGAGTTACGGTTGGGATAGAGATTCTGATGTTTGGAATCGCATGTTTCTTAATGCTAATAGCAAAACAGAAACTAAGGACCTGATTCAGTGCAACACTTTAGAATGTGCTAAACTTGATAATGTGTGAATAGTTCCATGGGGATTTAATATGCCGCAAGTTAAGCACTTGAATTAAGTGTTTTGCTAAATCAGGGCCTGAAGAGTCAGATCCAGTTGCCTAGTATGGGGAGATTCATTTTTATAGGGAGACAGTATAAAGTATTTCTTCTTATCTGAGCAGCAGCTGGGAAAGATTCCAACTAAGTGCTAGGGGAAAGATTAGGAAGGTGGAACTGTACTTGCTGGCTGGATAGCTGTCTTTCTGTCTGTTGCCACACAGCAGAGGAGCAGACAAATCCATAGTAATTCCCAAAGGGATTCTAATAACAGGACACTGTTTCCAAATCCAGCTGCTCACACACTTATCCTCAAAATGTTTGGCTAGCACCTCTGCCACTCTGCTTAGCTGAGCCCTCTCACCCCCACATGACTCCACCATACTGTAACAAAATAGAAGAATGCACATTCTGCCAACATTATCAGGTACAAGAATGCCACTGATGAGCTATTTATTCCCACTTCCTAATCATTGTCATCATAGGCTTCACTCCTGTAACAGAGTCCACAAACCCATAGACTCTGTGATTCCAGTGGGACTCTGTAAAGAAGCAAGGTCCACGTGTGGGGGTATTTTTGCAGAATCAGAATTATCTGGGTCAGGGTTGTTGCGCTCCAGTCTCTTCCAGTAATTATGGCCATTTCTTTCCTCTTTTTGCTCCACATGAAGTAATATTAGCCTCTGTGAGTAGTGGGACATAGCCTCGTATGTTTACGTTGTGATTTAGAACCTATGGTGGCGCATCTCAGAGAAAAGATCTACAGCAGTTATTAAAACAGCAGTGTAGATATTGTGATTCTGTCTGCAACTTGGGCTCTGAAACCTGAGCCCCATCCTGGCTGTCAGAACGTGTCAAACTATAGTCATCCCAGTCACACTTGAATGTCTACACAGTTTAACGCTGTGGCCCTGAGGCCCACATGCTTGGATTTTGCTGATCCGGGCCCTGAGTGCTGTGTAGCTAGCCTGAGGCCCACACGCTTGGATTTTGCTGATCCGGGCCCTGAGTGCTGTGTAGACTTACCCTTAGGCCACCCACTGTCAGTTAACTGTCCAAAACTCTTTCCACAGAACAGTAAAGGTGATTCTCCTTACAGATTTTACTTACCGGGTAGAAAACACCAACTCTTCGCTCCATAGAAATTGGTACTTTTTTTAAGAAGGGGTCTTCGTAACCCCAAAGAATTTCTTTCACGCTTCTGGTTTGTAGCATGTGCGATTTAGATGACTTGATCAAGGTATTCATCAGTATCTGTACAAATGAGTTTGTATACAGGGCGGGTGCAGCCTGCAATAATAATAATAACTGTTAGTATGAGCTATTATACACATTCAGTGCCAAAGAAGATGTACTGTATTTATTATTTTATATGTACTGAGCAGGACAGATTCGGACTGGGATTAATGAAGCTGTGAAGTAGAGTAAGGGATAATAAGTTCCGTCTATGCAGCCTATCCAGAATGCAAGTTAAGACATGAGGCATGAGAGCTAGTTGTTTTGGCCACTGCTCCCATGGTGCAAGGAAACAGTTGGGACAGCACAGAGAGTCCAGAATTGAGCTGAGACTTCAAGTTAGCATACGCTTTTTGGAATTAGGGCCTTAATGGGAATGTAGGTGCGTAACTTGGTGCATACAGATTTGAAATACTAGCTTTGATAAATGTTGCTAAAGCTCTTGGATGTTCTCAGTTGAAAAGAGCTGTGTTTATCTAATTTAGAATTAAGAGCTGGTTTCTTAAAAATCACAAAAATTATTACACACATTACCCAAAATTGTTATACTACCTCCTTGGGTGCCAAACAGCATGAAGGCCTTGTTGTGCTAAGAGCAGTATGAAGACATAGTGGGTGCATCTAGACTGGCAAGATTTTGCACAAAAGCGGCTGCTTTTGTGCAAAAACTTGCCTGCTGTCTACACTGGCCGCTTGAATTTGCACAAGAGCACTGACTTTGTAATGTACAAAATCAGTGCTTCTTGCACAAATACTTTCACGTTCCCACTCGGGAAAAAGCCCTCTTGTGCAAGAATACTTGTGCAAGAGGGCCAGTGTAGACAGGGAAGAACTGTTTTGCGCAAAAAAGCCCCGATGGCTAAAATGGCGATCAGGGCTTTCTTGCGCAAAATTGTATCTAGACTGGCCACGGATGCTTTTGCGCAAAAGCACTTTTTAAAGTATTTTTTAAAGTTAAAAGTATTTCCGCAAAATCATGCCAGTCTAGACGCAGCCAGTGAGAGAGACTCTAGTAGTTTAAATAGGCAAGCTGGACAAAGGATGAGGCAAAGGAAGTGTTGTCATTGTCACTGTACAAATGGGGAACTGAAGCACAGGGAAATTAAGTCTATAAAAAAGTTGGAAATTAAACCAACATTTTGAGAGCCCCAGTCCAGTGCCTTAATAACAGTACTATCATTTGACTCCTGGTTTTTTTCCTTTCTGTATTCCACAGCATCAAGCTTGTTATAGTTTATTATAATAATAATGAATGAATAGCAGTTTTAACAGGAGCCACTTCATGGCATCACAAAAGCAGGGCCACTTAAAATATGGAGACACAAGATAATAGTGCAAAATATTTGTCTGAGCTCAGGATAATTCAAGAAACAAAATCAGGAGCCTGTATGAATATGCATTTTATAATGTCAAAGCCAAATGTCATCGTGATATGTACAAAAGCAGGGCCACTTAAAATCTGGAGACACAAGATAATAGTGCTGAGCTCAGACAAATATTTTTGTCAAAGCCAAATGTCATCGTGATATGAAAATGCCTAAATAATTTAAACAGACACAAGTATAGCACCATTCTCCAGTTCATGTCCCAGACTTCTGGAGCAAGGTGCTTTTCTTAAAAGGGCGGTGATCTCAATAGGACTGGATGGCTGAGGGGACACTACCATATTGACTCCAATTAGGACAATTGGTAGCAGTTGTAGTAGGCAGACCAAGTATAGAATGAGCATGGGATTTGTTCCAGCCTCTCCTTCCAGAGCAGGATGGAAGAGACTGTCAGAACAGTGCATAAAACTGGCAGGGCACTGCTTGTACTATAATCTGAATGGAGAGGAAACTCCAGTCTCCAAAAGGATCAATTCAATTCCTCATTAAAACTGGCCAATAAATTCCCTTTGCCCTATGTGGCTAAATCCCACCCCAAAATTTTTGCTGTTTGCTTTGTGTTTTCTTGATACTAATCGGTCCCTGGGCCTGATGGACTTTAAACTAAAGACACTGTACATTGTGTGTAAAGGAGCCCACATGTAATATACATGTAATATGGTATGCCCATTGTCAAGCTGCTAGAGTGCAACAAAGAACCAAGCACCTTTGTTTTAAGATGATGGACCCCACCCTGCAGTTTGTTATTAGCAATAACTTCTCTCCTTTTGTTCTTAATCTTTCAACACCCAAGCTAGGATATTATAGTTTCCTTTCTTTACTTACAACAACAGCGAGATTGATGCATGTAAAGGTGTCATTTTCTGACCCAACTGACATATCAGGCTCGAAGATAGCAACATTTGGCAGCATATAAGACACTGTGTTGTCAGGATGTTGAGTGATATTTTCTTTGGGTAAATATCGCATCCTTCAAATACAAAACAAAAACAGAGCATAGTTTAACATTGATTTTAGAGCTGTATGGCTCTCTGGACATGACTAGTGCTGGTGTCTCTTGTTTGAAATGTTGCTGAAAAGTTTTCCTGGGGAATTCCAAAACTTTCTCATGAAAATCGTGCACTGCTTTCCAACCAGTTCTAACTGTGACAGTGAAAAGATTCTAAATATATCCCTCTTCTGCAACATCTGCCCTTCAGTCAGAGATGTAATGGCAGCATGTGTAGCTATACCCATGCTGTCTTTAACCATGGTAGCTCAGGTATCAATAGTGATGAAGACATGGCCAAACAAGCATTGTGGACTAGTAGCCTGAGTCATCCAGGGTATTAGGTGGACATGTACATCCCTCACTGAAAGCAATGCTGAGGTGACTTCACTGCTGTTGGGACCTGTGCTCATTCAATTTAAGCTATCTTGGATATGCCTACAGATGCCTCACTCATACACCTCACTTGCACTGCCCACACACCCTAAGAGTTCAATAATTTCTTCAATGCATGATTAGATAATCCCTGGCCATATACATTATCTTGTTGGAAACAAATATTTCTATGGATCTCTTAAAGTTCTGATCTGAATTAGTTGGAGTTCACCATATCATACATTTTTCAGGTTCTCTGATTGGATGAGCCACTCTTATGTCAATAGAAGCTATTATATTTGTTTTCCTGGGTCAATAGGTTGCTGGGAGAGAGAGATTATACTCCAGAAGACACTGAGGTGGAAGAAGCCTATTGCCTGTTGTGAATTGGCCACTAACGTTAATCACCTGCTTATATATTTGCTCAACAAGGATGAACTACTCAACCTGGACCTTGGTAGACAAATTTGGGAAAAGGAATACTTCGGTTGTTTGAAGTTTTGCAGACTATATTAATCAGACTTTTGAAGCTTCAGACCCAATATTTAAGCTACAGATGCAACACCGCATTGCCAACTTTCTCAATTCTATCGAGTCCTGCCATAACTTAAGATTTTCATAATGCATTTTTTCTTGGAGTCATGTTTTCAGGAATGATCCAGCATGCTGAGTCACCAAGCAAGCATTCCCACATGAACATCAGATTATTTTGCACTTCACTTCTTATTAATATGTGCATTTACTCAATCTGTGCACATAAAAACAAAGCGGTTGTGTGTGCAATGGATGTGTGCAGATATTAAGGCATATCTATTACATCTGAATACTCAGAATACTTCAGAAGCACTTTCAGCAACTTTTACAATCCAACTAATATGGCGTATAACATATTTTGAAACCATTTGCCTACCTGTATGTGTAGGGTCCAATTTGTCTGAGTATTGGCCGGGAGCCATTCTGCATCACTTCCTGTGGGTTTTGCACATCATAGAACCAAAACTGCCTGTAAATGGGACTCCCTGGCACCACCCAGTTTTCATAAGCTATTGTACCATTTTCAATGACATCTTGCTGTAAGCACAAAAGCAAAACAGTAAAATCACTGTTCTGAGCATTGCAGGGTGGAAAAAAGAATTATGTTAGGACAGTAGCCTAGGAAACAGGTATTAAGACCCACTCTCCATCAGACTTCTTATGACCTTGGGTAAATAACTTACCACACTCCGTGTTTCTGGTTCCCAGCTGTAAAATGGGGAAAATAGTGCTAAGTCACAGGGGCTATATTAAAACAAAAAAGCAGTCATGGAGCACTTTAAAGACTAACAAGATAGTTTATTAGGTGATGAGCTTTCGTGGGGCAGACCCACTTCTTCAGATCATATTCTGAAAGCGAATGGGCATGACCATTATATAACAGAGAAATACAATGAAAAAAAGTACAAAAATACAAACTGACAAATCAGCTACATAGAACAGAAGGTGGGAGCGAGGGGGAGAGTGACAAGGAAGGAGGAAATTGCTTACTGTAAGAGTCAGTTAAGTGGCTAATCTGGGTCACTATGAATATCAAAAGGTGGGGAGCCCGTTTTAGTAATGTGTAAGATAATTATCATCTTGATTAAGGCCCATTCACAACATGTCGAATTTTAGCACAAATAAAAGTTCTGAGGTCTCCATCTGTAATCTGGTGTTAAAAGTCTCTTTGTTGTAAGATGCATGTTGTCAGGTCTTTAAGGGAATGGCGTTGTTGTGAGGCACAAAAATACCATAGTGATGGATATCTAAGTGTATCACTATACAGCAGTTAAACATGCAGCCAGCCCATGTCAGCTGATTAGGGCTAAAGGACAGTGTGAGGCTTGGATTGGAGCCCAAACTCCCTTCCTCACAGAGTCACTAAGCCCAGACTCCAGCCTGAACTTGAATGTCCTCACAGGGTCACTAAGCCCAGACTCCAGCCTGAACTTGAATGTCTACTCTGAATTTAAATAGCCTCTTAGCCCAAGCCCTGCAACTATGAATCAGCTGACACAGGCCAGCATCCTTTGGTATATATGGTTGTGACAATTTTCTTCCACTATTTGATCTGAGGAAGTGGGTCTGGCCCACGAAAGCTCATCACCTAATAAACCATCTTGTTAGTCTTTAAAATGCTACACAGTCCTGTTTTTTGTTTCAGCTGCACCAGACTAACACGGCTACATTTCTACCAATAGCCTAAGATAGGGAGTTGAGGCTTTTGTTACACAGAAGGATAGTAACGGGTCTGCAAACAGGTCACAAAAATCAGATCATCACTCTCATGAGGCTTGTGCCAAGCATTTCTGGTGAATTCTTTAACAACAGTGGTCAGGCTAGACTATGGAGTCAGATATACATGAGGACGCAATCTGGTCTCTAATGTAAGTCACCAATAACCGGATAGCGCTCTCAGTGAAATCCAAGGGAATGTTACTATCAACTTAAATCGGAGTTGGCTTCAGTCCCAATACCACATCCACTGAGTAGTCTGGACAGAGAACTTTAAAATATAACAACAACATATTTTGCATGTTGCTTACAAAATCTTTATTTGTGCCTATTGTTCAATGAAGGAACCAAGCTTTAACTATTTAGTAAATTACTTTGCAAATAGAGACAGAAAACCACCTAGCAAAGAGCTGACTAAATTAAGTTGAGATAAATTTAATATGGTCAAATATTTCATTTTGAAAATGCCAAACTGAATGGTTTTAACTGTCTCCATTTTTTTGTTCCCTCCCTCCCCCCATTTTTTGCCAAACAGTGACTGTATTTTTCATGAATAAACTATTTGTCCAAAAAAATTCACACACGTGTACTTAGTAACAGTTCCATGCAATGCTAAATAGTTCATTTGCAGCACTCATCACAGCAATAGACACCAAAATGCTGGCTCCCATTCAAAATGTTGTTTAAAAAAGGGAGGAGGGAGACTTTTGGATTAAAATTCTCCAGATTTTCTTTGCATCACAATTTTGCCATTTTGATATTGCCCCGCACAAACCTGAGCTGCATAAAGAGAGAATGGCAGTAATAAGGAACCACTTCATTTAGAATTTGCCTTAGTGCTACATAAAGATGTTGCTTAAAATAATTGCTTTGTGTAAATATAACCAGTTTGTACTCTGCTTTGTAAATATCCTGCTAGTAGCTTAAAAACCTGGTACTGCTCTTTGAATATCTGCCATAATTTATGTTCACAGATAGTTGTGTGAGAAGGGGCAGAAATGCAGCAGCAACAGACTTGCTTCACATTGTGCTCTTTTGCAGAGGGTAGGAATCAGCAATAACAACAACAACAACAACAAAAAGTAAAAGGCCTTTAATATCGTGCAATCCCCAGAAGGCAAGAGATGCTAGCACAGCAGTATATTAATCCAGGGGAAAGATCAGTCTTCCATTATGAGGCTGTCTTGCTGTCGAGGAAGCCAGCACCTAGACACTCAAGGGCCCTGAGATGGCAGCTCAACACCAGTTCCCATGGGTTTCTTAGAGGAGAAGCACCTTAAGTTTGATAATAATTATCCTCACATTCTTGGGCAGGGGAGGAAGTGGGGAATCCTGGTTATGATGGCCACAGAGAGCTCCCCATATGACCCAAAGGGAGTTCATGTAAGTGCTGTTCAACTCCCTCTGCTCTGTGTCAAATTGTGGTTTGTATTCCGCATCCCCTATAGCTGGAGATGATTCACAAGTGGGAATTCAGTCTTGACCCTATATACACCTGGGAAGGATCCTGACCAATAGTGAAAAGGCCAGAGGGCCAACCTCTACCAAAAGTCTGCAGGAGGTCACCAATCCTCTAATGGAGAGCAGATGAAGCAGAGCGAGGTGGGTTTCTAGTCAACATCTTTACCGTACTTCCTTTTTAAAAATCTAAATGGTGCCTTTTCTTTTTTTCAAATAAAATTTACCTTGGTAAGTCAGAACAAAATCAGTGGAGCTGTTGCCTGAAAATCTCTTCCCCACCAATGACCAACTAACATTCCTCCCTGACCAGAAGCCTCCTCTGACTGATCTCCTTCTCTGCCCTATTGAGAGGGACGGGTGTTATCTTCAGGACAGAGCTGCCCTTAGCATTTTTTGGGTGCACCTAAGAAATAAATTTTCACAGCTGCTTTCTCCAGATGTTCCATCCTCCATGAGCACACCTCAATGCACATCCAAGCTGCAGCCTCTTTGGGATTTCCCCTCCTTTAACTCACATACTTTATATAAAAAATGGGACCATGCCACCCACCTCCCACCCTGCTACTGAAGAAGTGGGGTCCATCTACTTTCGCTGGGCTATATTTTGCACATCCGGGAAAATTTTCCAAATAAGAAGAGTAGTTGGTCCCAGGCACAGGCTGGTTTTATATCATTCTTTTCCTTTGACGAGCAATAGTTTGCTCACATATAGTGTGGAATCACTACACTGGCCCGCCCTGTGCCCCAGGAAGTAGGTACTATGCTAACTTTGCGGAAGCAAAGGCGATTGCAGAAAGGTTATGTGACTTGACTAAGGTCTGGTCTGAAAACAGTTTTTATGCCAGTATAACAATTTCAGGTAGGGCTGTGAGCATTACACTAGTCTGAGCCCAGGTGGTGACACAATTGTACCAATGCAATGGTGTCTATAGCAGTATAAGAACATCAACAAGGAAGGTTACACCATATTCATAATACCATATCGTTACATGACTCAACTTTTGTGTATAGAATCTGTGCCAGAGCTGTGATTACAATGCAGGAGTCTCTGCCTCTCAGCGGCATGCTTACTATTCGATTCCACCCTACTTCTCATGCTATTAAGCTATAGCAGCCGATCACACTGGCTTTGCCGCAGCCTCCAGATAATTAGGAGCTGGCAGAGGTTCTAGCCCTATGAAAGGCGTGCTGTGACTGTATCTTCACCACCAAAAAGGGCGTGTTTTTGACCATGGGATAACAAATGTGCATTAGCTCTCCTGTTGTAAAGCCCTAGTGGACATAAAGCACCTGTCATTTTTGCAATGATGTAACTCTGCGAATGCCACATTGTATGTGCAACTGTGATTGACCTTGCCTAGGTAACACTACAGGTGTCTAATCTCCATTAGCATTTTATAGCAGGAGAGGGAACTCACACCAGTTGTCCCATGGTAAAATCTCACCTTTTTTGGCAGTAAAGTCAGAGCACTGCATCCCAAAACCACTGACTTAGCTGTTTGCTCTCCAAGAACACATTGTGAAAGGCTTTGGTAAGTCTCCAGCCCTGCATGGAGAAAGAGGGTGAGTTATCAAAGCAGAAAAACTTAATCTCCAGGGACAGAAAATCAGTTTGTATTTTCAAAGGAACATTTGTAAGAAACGGGCTATAGACTCCTATTTTAAAATAGAAGTTGGGATTGTCCTATACATTCATATAGGCTACGTATACACGACGGGTTTTTTTCTGCAGAAGATCGGCAAATGAAGTGCGGAAGAGGTTTTACCATTAAAAAGCCCCGTGTAAACAGGGCCATTTGTAGGGGGGAAAAAAACCCCTTTGCGCAAGATCCTGTAAACCTCATTTTTTGAGGAATAAGGGATCTTGCACAAAAGGTTTATTTTCCCAACAAATGGCCCTATCTACATAGGGCTTTTTAACAGCAAAATCTCTTCCGCAAAAAGGACTGGAAGAGAATAAGCATATGAGCGTGCGAGATATGCTAATGAGTGTTTCATTTGCATATCTTCTGCCGAAAAAACCCGCAGTTTAGATGTAGCCAGAGGGACTAGAACTGGGGCTAGAATCTCCATCATTGGAGATTTTTAAGAGAAGGTTAGACAAACATCTCTCAGGGATGATTTAGATTAAGTCTGGGCTAAATATGGCCTGTGGGCCAAATCCAGTCCTCCAAGACATTGGATCTGGCCCACGGATGCAGCAGGGATCCCAAGCAGACTTCCCGCATGTGTCGCCCCCATCTGCACGCTGCTCAGAAAAGCAGCTGCCAAGCTGTTTCTCTTTCATAACTGTGAGCCCATGGGTGGCTTCATGAGCTGGCTCCACACCCAGCACAATCCCATTCGCTGGTTTCTGGCCA